TTTTCTTACCTTCAAATTTTTTTCTTTCCTGTCCCTTGCCCCCTCTCCCTAGTTTCCCTTCCCCTTTGAACATTTTCTTCCTATTTCACAGTATCTATTATACATCTTGGTCCTTATTTTCTCACACCAGAGAAACAATTTGGTATTTACACATGTGTGTCCTATTTATTTCACTATGAGTATGGCATCAAGGTGCGTCCATTTAGCTATACAAGTTTATCTTTCTTTATGGCTGAATAGTACTCCAGTTTTTTTTTTTTTTTAACCCTACATCTTCGTTATTCACTTGCCAGTTGATGAGCTATTGGGCTGTTTCCAAAATTTAGCTATTATAAACTGCTGCTATTAAAAACTCCACTGTGGTACGATGCTTTTAATTCTTTTGGGAACATACCCAGCAGGGGAATACCAGGGTCAAATAGGACCTCTAATCCTAGTTCTTTGAGGAATCTCCACACTGATTTCCACAATGGTTGCACCAGTCTGCACTCCCACCAACAGTGAAGAAGGGTTCCTTTCTCCCCACAGCCCCTCCAGTATTTGTTATTGCTTGATATCTTGTTAGCATCCATTCTTTCAGGAGTGAGATGGAATCTCAGTGTTGTTTTCATCTGCAGTTGGATGCACTTATAATGCCCAGATCATTAAACAAATGTACCTAGTAGATGGGGCAAGAGAAAGAAATGCAAAACTCCATAAATGCTTAGAGATGGGAGGAGAAAAAGGCAGAACTCTGTAAATGCTACCCTAGGATATGGACAGAACTTAGGGATGTATTCCAAAATGGTGAAAATCTGAATATGTTTTGCCACTTTCATACCTAGTGTTTTTTTGATCCATGGCAGCCACCAACCAATCCTAGCCCCTCTCTGCTATAATCTCAGGATAAAATGCTAAAAAGATTACTCAGGCATCATTTTTACCCCAGATCTATTTTGACTAGCACTGCCTGCAACTGTTTACACTGAGGGAACCGGGAATCAGCCTACTGTTCCTGACATGCATTTTAATAAGCCACCTAACAAAATCAACAGGAAGAAAAGAAAAACTGAACAGGTGTGAGGAAGCCAGAGGAAGATGGATCCTGTGTCTCCCCTATCTCAGTCAAGATGGCACATTGTTTGCTCCCAGGACAGAAGTGCCTCACTGCCTCCAGCATGGGCTCTGGGAAAGGGGGCCTCAGGTTCCAAATTAATCCCCCTGCAGCTTCAGGAAAGGAAATCTGTCACAACTCAAAATGCTGCCTTGTACCTCACAGAAGCCTGTTGAGAAGGGCTGTTCCCGGCTGTATCGCCATGGAAATGTGTGACACTTTTGTTGATGAGTTAGTTGCCTGTCTCCAGATGGACATCTTCATTCCTAGCACCAGCCTTTGAGACATGTGATAGACCATTTTTAAGTATTTGTTTTGTACGTATTGTGACTTTTCTAAGGGTCTTGCTTGCTTTTTTGTTTTATACCATGATGGATTTTGTGCAGTGTGTTGTGTAAGTAATAATGATAGGTCTGGCTTTGTAGTCTTGGCTGTTTGTTTTTTCTTCCTTTATATGCAGTCAAATTGTGTTCCTCTAACACTGCCTGCCTTGGCCAGTCAGCCGGGGTTATTAATGACGTGTTAAAACCTATCTGCTTTCTAAATTGTTGGTGATTCTGTCTTGATTAAAAAAAAAAAAGTCAGTGTGTGGAATAATACTGCTTTGAAAATCATGTTGCTAGGAGCTTTTCCATTTCACTAGAGAAAAATATTAAAAGTTTTCTACTACTTCCAATTCAGTTGTGTTCGCTGGAGAGATAAGATGAAGACAGACTATTGCCAGGCTACTCACAGGGCATCTACACCAGCCTGTGGCTTGGTGGATGGGAGAGGGCAGCGGACAAGGGAAGTTAGGTCCTCTCTAGAGGGTAGAGACCTAAGGCTGGGGATTTAGCTCAGTGGTTCTGCCACCTGCCTCACAAGCACAAGGTCCCAAGTTCAATCCCTGGTACAAAAAAAAAAAAATCTATAAAACAGAGACCTCTTGCTATGCAGGGTGCAGAGGGCCATCTGGGTCTTTCAAAAAGATTCCACTCAGGTCCTAAAATACTGTGTGCACTTTACCATCTGTGATTATTTTCTCTCCATTGCTGAGATAAAATACCTGACACCAAAAATTGGGAGGGACAAGATTTATTTGGCTTACAGTTCATAGAGGTTTCAGTCCATAATCAGCCAACTCCAAGGCAGGGTTGACAAACGGGCACGGCAGAGCAGGAACAACATGGCACACACAAGGCAGCACAGGTGACAAGAGAGCTAACAGCGTCTCCCTGCTCCTTATATCTTATCCAGACTACTTAGGGTGGGCAGCACTCACACCTTAATCCTAGTGCCCTTGAGCCTAGCAATGCATCATGAATCAGTTCCAGCTTCACGCTTTCCGTCAAGCCTATGACCACATGAGGGTTGGGGGGACGTGTAGACCCAAACCACAACACCATCCTTTCATGTGTGCGTTTGGGTCCTATAGACAAAGCATAGCATCCACTGAAATTGTGATATATTCATATAATCATGTATGTATCACATGTGAGCTTTACCTGTGTCTTATATATAATAGAGACAACATGTATGTTATTTATGTTTAAATAATCAGGTTCACCAGAAGCAACTCAGATCACAATTAAGTTGTTACTAAATGTTAGTAATTATCTCATTGAGCCATGACTTATGAATATTAATGTCCCAAACTGAAGTCAGGGAGCTAACTTAATTTTTAAAATTTTCATCTTTTTTTAACATCTGTGTAATTGTATTAAAGGGATAATTTCTGTCTTTTTTAACTAACGATTATTTTCTAGCTCCTGAGTAAATAATCCCTTAATTAATTAAATGTGTTGATAATATTAACTTTCATTTTTTTCTTTTCTGAATACCAAATTGAATTGTGAAGCTTTATGTTAATAATTATGGATCAGAAAACATTGATTAACTTAATATATTTAGTACTTCAAATACTTGAAGGGCTTAGTACTGTTATCTCACACCAGTCTCTCAATTTTCTTTTAGAAAAAAGCAGAATCAGGCCAGGGATTTGGCTCAGTGGTTCTGCCACCTGCCTCACAAGATTAAGGTCCCAAGTTCAATCCCTGTATCCCCCAAAAAAAGATACTTAGAAAAAAGCAGAATTAATACATACTTTGAATTATCAGATGAAAAAAATAATTGGCTTAGCCTTCAACATGGAATCTTATACAGAGATATGCAAATGTATTACCTTCAAAAATATGATAATTTTGAGAAACATTTGAACATCATAATTACATGGAGTACTGTTACTATAACAACTGTTATTATAACTGTTACTATACTTTTTTTTTTTTTTTTTTTT